AACAACCCTAACCCATAAATGTAGTCAGAATCTAAAGCCAGAGGACAAAACTGTCATTGAGTAATTACTAGTTACTTCACATTCATTGTCTAGATATAAAATTTAGTTTTGGCCCATACTTCTTTTCTCTATTTATTACCACCATCACTCAAAATGTTTAGTCTATCTAAAAATGTCAGTATTTCACAATGGAATGATCAAAGCAGAAATATATGCTATATTATAGGAAAGAACCTCCTAAGTATGTGAAAGAGAATTTTACTTTCATTGTTGTTTCCATTGAAGGGATAAGATAAAGAATTAAGCAAAAATGCATGGAGCTCTCAAGTGGAGGGGACATTGCTAATACTGATTTTAACCAATGAAGCTGCCTTTTAATTTGGAATGGTAGTCAGGCATTACATTAAGATACAGTAAGTAGGAAGCATTCTTAAATCAATTTGACAAGTATCAAAGTTTATTAATATTTTAACCACAATAAATGTGATAAGTCCCTTTTCTCCCTTTATCAAACTAATTAATTTTTAGATTACTCTTTAGATCTCAAGATGAAGATATTTAATTCCCTTTAGATGCAACCAGATGAAGACCTGTGGAACAGTTGGGGGGCACAACCTGGAATGGAGCCTTATGGAGACATATTTGTCATTAAATCTCTACAAATCACATTTTACCACTTCATGTGGTGCACACCTGTCACTGCTTGATTATGTACTTTGCTGCCACAGAAGAGACTCCATAGCCCTGAAAATGCCTATTTTGTTGTCTTTACAGTGTGCCTTAAAACAATAACAAAATAAGGGGATTGGGGTATCATAGGGAGATTATGTCCACAGGAGGTACATAAGATACTTTAACAAGACCTCTTCCTGCCAAAATTCCTATGTTTTATATTCTAGCCCTATGCTCCTCAGGGGTGAAAATGGGAGTTTGCCATTTAAGATTGATTTTCTTAGTTTCTTATGATATAAACACACCTGTTCAAAATAACTTTGTGTTGATAAAGAAAATTTCTTCTAAGTGTTTCTTCTCATAAGCCCTGTATTTTGCCTAGAACAGGAGTTGGTCCTTTGATAACTGATTCTCAAAACAGCAAGTTGTTCAAGGGGTAGAATTTGCAATATTTTATAAACATATAGTCTCGGGGCACCTGGCTGGCTCAGTCAGTTAAGTGTCTGCCTTCAGCTCAGGTTATGATCCCAGGGTCCTGAAAACATATAGTCTTAACATACTAATTTAAAATTGAATTTCTGAAAGATCCCACCCATGCTTTTATGGCTTTTATGTTTTAAGGAGATGGCTTTTATATTTTAAGGAGAATCTGAACTCTAAAAATTAAACATTGTATCTATGCATATTTTATGTTACTCATTGTATCTTGTAAATGTAAATAATGGGATTCTTTGTCTACTTTTACTGTATTTTAGGTCGGTGCAACAGTAAATCCTCAATTTATTATCCATGGGAGTAAAAATTGACACTATATAGCAAACTAGGTCCATAGTCTCTGTGAAGTTTTCACAGTATTAAAATAAACAGAGTAATGACTTTGCAATCCTAAAATGTAAAAACAATAGAAAATTAAAAGAAATACAACACATTTTTTTCAGTTTGAGACACATAAAAATGTCTAAAAATGCAAGTTATATAAATAACTATAAAAATTTTTAATTTCAAATAAAATTCACAAATAAGAGGTCATGAGGCAGTTCAGTATCAAAATGTAATTTGAATATGTTCTATTTCAGTTTGGAGAAGAGACAGATCAATTGAAATAGAGTCAAAAGGTACAAGGAGATCTTGGAGAATTGAAAACTCAGTCTCTCTTTATGGTTTCAAGATCTCTAATGTCTGCTGATTTCTGCTCTTCAGTCTTCTGTGTGTCTGTCTCATTTTTGTTTTTCTTCTACAGATAAACTCTCTTGGTCCTTCTTGCCCATGGTTTAATTTGTGGCCCCTGCCCATTCCCCATATCAAATGGTAGCCTTTGTCCTTGATTCTTCACCAACTGCAAGCTCTCTCAGTTAATTAATGTACTTTCTCTTTACCTAAATTAAGAACTCCTAGAAAATAGAATCTCACTGGTCCAGTTTGGAGAACTAGGATATAGCAAATTTCACATTGCTCTTTTAGACCATGGCATATATTTTTAAGTGGAAATCAACAGTGAAGAAATAATAACAATGTAATAAAATATTGAAGTTCAGTAAGATATGGGCAGATTAATGGGGTAGATTTGTGACAGCTAAACTTTGTTTAGTAGAAGGTGAAAACAACCTTTTTTTTTTTACTCTTGTAAATGAGCTCTTATTCATTGCTGCCAGATAGATTTCCTTTCTCACAATTGACCCAACATTCCACATTTAATTCTGTTTTCATGCGATTTCTTTCTATGTGTCATACCTCTTTCTGGAAGCTACTCTAATGAATTTACCAAATGTTTTAGTATGTCTATGATAATTAATTAGCATTTTAATATGCCATTTAATTTTCTAATTGTGTCACACATATTTACTACTTACCATATATTCATATGTGTGTACCTGGTCACACCTACACAATTATAGAATCTCGAAGTTTTAATGTTTCTCATACTTATTTCTCAAAAACCATAGCCACATTATGAAATTCTGTAATTAGAGCCTAATGCTAGTCTCTTGTGGCAAGAGGTCAAATACTATTCTTCAAAATCCCAGAGGAAGTTTAGGGCTGAAACTATAGCTGTGGTTCAATAAAAAATTGTGGTCAAATTATAGGAAGGTACTACATATGCTGGTCCCAGAATGGTTTCAGAGTATTTACTTCCATACCTTTGTTGATAAAACACATGAAAGATTAGAACCAAAAACACCTATGATTTATTGAGGGCTCACTTATAAAAATAAACTGATGATGGATGAAAAGCAAACTTCTAACTGAAAATTCAACTTTAAATTTTACTTACCTGGGTTGAATCATCTTAATTTCAGACATGCAAAATGTAAATTAATCTGAGGTTAAGTTCTTCACTATCTGTTTTTTTCAAAAGGAAATGCAGTAATCAGAGATCTTCTCATTTGTAACCATTAGACCTCACAAAATCTGGTTGAGTTGCAAAGAAAATAAGGAAAAGACACAAAAGGAGAATATTTTTATTATAACTTATATAATTTGAGAAATTAAGTAGACTGTGAATGATTAGAAAGCAAATAGAGGGCGCCTGGGTGGCTCAGTTGGTTAAGCGACTGCCTTCGGCTCAGGTCATGATCCTGGAGTCCCTGGATCGAGTCCCGCATCGGGCTCCCTGCTCGGCGGGGAGTCTGCTTCTCCCTCTGACCCTCCCAACCCTCCCCCCTCTCATGTGCTCTCTCTCTCAGTCTCTTTCTCTCAAATAAATAAATAAAATCTTAAAAAAAAAAAAAAAGAAAGCAAATAGATTTTTCTAAGTAAAAGAATAGACTAACAAATATTTAACTATTCTCTTGTGATGCAATTCAGGAACTAGTATAACAAAAATTTGAAAAATTTTAAAGAAGTGAAATGCAGATTTTATCCATTTTATTAGATTATAATTGCTCAAGTGATAGGTAAATAAATACAAAAGCAATAAATATTGTTATATTACTGCTTTTCTCATAAGGAATTCTAACATTTAAAAAACTACAACATTTGTTTCATAAATGGAATTGTATGCAATGCTACTCAATGTGGGGTCAATAGATCAGCTGCCAGACCATAGGCTAATTGTTACTATACCAGGATGGGGAAAAAAAAAATGCACTGCCTTCATTGAGAAAGTCTTGCTATAAAAAAAATAAATAAATAAAACATCATTGTGAGCTTAATAATAGAGATGATTTCCTTTTTGTCACAAACCCCTTCATCAAATTGTAGATGATCTCTTTGTACTTAATTTTGTTGATGATGAATAATAATTATATATAAATGAACACCTTAATTGTATACTTTTTTGTACAACTTGTAGTAAGGCAGATATAAAAAATAGCACAGCTTTGCTTGTATATTCAAAATCTCTATAGTTTTGTCTTATGGATCAGAATTACTAACAAATGCTCTCCTTTTTTGTTTATCAGAGCATATATGTTGCCTTCATTTTGTAAGACAGTTTTACTGGATATAGAATTTTTGATTGACATTTTTTCCTTTCAGCATTTTGTCATTCCATTGCTACCTGTCCTTTCTTTTTTCTGATGAGAAGTCAATGGTAAGTCATATTTTTGCTATTTTTCCATAGGTGGCTGAATCACCTTTCCCTTACAGCTTTAATAATCTCTTTGTCTTCCAGCAGTTTGTTATTGTTGGTCTGGCTATTGATATATTTTTATATCTCCTACATGAAGTTAAATAGAATCAAATTTGGAAAATGTTTAACCATGAATTTTGCAAAGTTTTCTTTTGTATTTTTTCTACTCTCTCTCCTTAGGAAATTCATTACACATTCATCGGCATGTTTGATGTTGTCCCACATATCTCTGTTCATTTTTATTTAATGTGGGGTTTTTTTGCAATCTGTCTTTTATATTGGATAATTTCTATTGATCTGTTTTTTTTGTTTGTTTTGTTTTTGAAGTCAAAATGAGTATTTTAATTTAGTTTCAGAAAAAGATGTCACATGAATTTGGATTAGAAAAAAGGTTTGTTTATCCAGAAATGCAGGGAAAAGAAATAACCCTTAATAGGTTCAATGATAATTTTCTGGATCTTCCTTTTGCCTTGAAAACTATATCTTTTCCCCAAAGCACCTACTTCAAAAATCACCTGACCCTGTTTATCTCCCTCTAGCTGGAACAGGCTAATTCCCCTCCACCCCATCCCTCTTCTTTCAGTCATATTGTGTGGGTGCCGAAGACTCTGGGCTCTGACCAATGAACAGAACTGTCCTTTAAGCTAGCGACCCACAGGCAGTGGCACCCAAAGCCCCACTCCCAGTCCCCATGGCAGAAGCCACAGAGCTGGCATTTGTTTTCACTGTCTCAGGATGAGGAGCCAAAAGCTGACCATCAGCGCAAATCAATGCCGAATATGGAGAGAGAATGAGGGCTCCTAGATCCAGAGTAGGCTGCAAGCTGGGGCAGGAAAAGAGAATTTTTGAGTCGTCCCATCTTTAGAAACAAGGGGGAAACGGGATCATTCTCCACTGCTATGGTCCTATTAGCTACTCTACTGCTACTGAGCTCCAAGGTGATGTGCAAGCTCAAAAGGCTCTGAATAAAGCAGGAGAACTTTGCCCTGGCTGGAGAAGGGAGTAACATAGGAAGAGAGGTCAATGAATCATTTATAGGAAGACCAGTGATGGGAACTTCAGCTCTTAACGTGGCTGTCAGCCCTGAAAAGGACAATCCAGTAAGAACCGAGACAACCACTCCAGACTGGTGTAGCTGGGGAATCTTCAGGCCTTTCCCTAGGTCCCACACCAAGTGTTTGATCCCATTCCAGGTGTGATACATGAGAGGGAAGACAAGTGCAGATTTGGCTGTGTAGATAAGTGATCTCCCCAGACACAGGAACTTTACAAGTTCCAAATGAGATTGAAAGGTCCCCAGAGCCAAGAGGGCCAACAAGCCAGAAAGGGAGACCCCTGTACTCAAGGCCATACCAGTACCACAGTGGCAAATGGATATTGCCATGGGAAGAGATCAACTGTAGATAGTGATATGCAGAGACAGAAGACAGTTTAAACTAGTATTCTTTTTCCAGAACTTCTGCATCCCTTCTGTGGCTGTAGTTCCCAAAGGAACAGCATTTCTGATACAGAACCTAGGACTAAAATGGGCACAGAGGCAATGACAGCCAACATGTCTCAACAAGAGTGCAGCCATCTTCTCTACTGATCTACTTTTAAATAAACTGATTCATGCTTTTGCATATCTGTTCTGCTTTTAAATCCATCTAGTCAATGTCTTTCCATTATTTTGGTTAGTACATACTTAAATTCTAGAATTTTCTTTTTTTACATAGTTTGTGTTTCTCTACTGGAAGTCCATTTGACAAACCACTATAATCATATTTTTTCTTTAACTTCTTAATATAGTTTTCTTTAATTCCTTTAACATATTTATAAAAGCATCTATGAAGTCTGCTAAATCCAACGTATTGATCCACTTAGAGACATTTTCTACTGACTGCTTTTTTTCTTGACTATGGGTCAGTTTTTCTGTGTCTGTGTATGCCTTGTAATTTTTGTTGTTGAAAATTGGACAATGTTAGATAAAATAACGTAACAACTTCAGGCTCTTTATTTTTCTTACCTGAAGTTTTATTTTTTATGTGTTTTTTTGTGACTTAAATTTATTGAATCTTTCCCCACATGGTATGCAGGTATTAATGTCACTGATCATTTTTTCTTGTTATTATTTTCACACTGGTTAGTTAGAAGTTGCCCCAGTGACTGAATGGATTAGTTGTCAGATAGCTGAGTATTTTTCCCCCTCAAATATCTTGAGATTGTAAGGCTTCCTTTTCTGACAGAAGATTTTTATGTGGATTGGAGAGAGTGTTCCTGTGATCAGTTAATTTTCAAGTCCATCTGAGGCTTTTACTTTTTTCTGTGTCCTCTTGGGTTTTCCCTGTTTGTATGCAAAGTTCCCAAATTAGTGAGAGATGTATGCAGAACTTCCTCAGTTCTTCTTTAGTTTTCTTAGTTTTACTAGGTCTCCATTAATTTTTTGTTTTTGTTTTGTTTTGTTTTTGCCACTCAGGACATAGAGATTTATGCTTTACCGTGTGCCACTTACTGAGATTGAAAATATGGAAAACAGAGTTATGTAACCTTTAAGAGATGTTTTGATATTATTAAAAAACCAAACTCATATCTGAGTTCTTTAGGTCAGTAACAGTCTCATTTTACTTTCAAACTTTAAGGACATTTGGGGGGGGGCAGTGGAGGGGAGACATGATTAGATTGGAATAGTCTGAGCCTTGATTCTGAAAGAGCTAAATTTGAATCTTGGCTGCCAAGCTTACTTAATGTAGGAAAATAGTCTCCTGGCTCCAGTTTCTTTTCGCTTATGTCAGTGATTTACAAAGCCTGAATGTTAGGTTATAAATGAGGTTTAAATTAAATGATTTAAGTAAAGCAATTATCAGATTTTTAAGAAAAAATGCTACTCCCCATTTGACACATTATTATGAACAAGCATATTAATTTGCTGATTCCATTTAGAGTGCAGGTTTACTAAATTATGTGCATGAATTACATAAAATTTGTATCAGCATGGAACAGCCATTGGTAACTTTCTGACTTACCTCTCCCCAGTCTTTTTTTTCTGGGTGTCTCCTGACATCAAGAACTAAGGGTTCTTCATTCTCCCATGGCTGTTCACATTCAAGAAGTTCCTATATTAATAAAACTAGGGAAACACTCCCCATGTTTCTTTCACTTAGGAATCACCTATAGAATTGTTAAAATGTTACTTACATTATCTCCAATTCCTTGGGGGTCATTTTAGTCTAATTAGTCTCTTGCAAGACTCCTTGACACATCTCCTAACAGATTATTGGCTTCTTACTGGACCTCTTCCTGAGATAAACTGAGCTCCAATTATTTCTTCTCTAAGATGCAGCCATAAAGACATTTGTGTAGCATTTGATTTTAACTGTATGCGTTAAAGACAGTTTTGTCTAAGAGATTAGAGATAAAATTCTCTCCGTTAGTTGAGTTGTATTGTTTTTGACTTTTTCATTTTTTGACATTTCATTTTTTGAAAAGCAAATTTCATCTATTTATTTATTTATTTGGGAGTGAGAGAGAGAGGGAGAGCACAAGGGGCAGGACAGAGGGAGAGAGAATCTCAAGCAAACTCTGAACTGAGCATGGAGCTCATTGTGGCCCTAAAATCACAACCTGAGCTGAAACCAAGAGTTGGTGCTCAATTGACTGGGACACCCAGGTGCCCTGCAAATTGCATTTTTAAAACTTGATCACAAAGACTAATAAAAGTCTTAAAACAATACTGCAGTTTTGTTTTGTTTTTTTTGGAAGGTGCATGTTCAATAATAAATAGGTTAATATTTAATCGTAATAGTTAATATATATTGAAAACTTATTCAGTGTCAGAGTCTTTATATTCACTGCTTAATTAAATCCTCAAAACAGCTCTATAAGGTAGATAGTCCTGTGTTTTGAAGATGACCACTAAGATTTAGACAGATTAAGTAATTTTCCTAAAGCAACAGAGTTCAGTATTTAAATATAAACAGTCTGATTCCTGAATCTATACTGTTAAATTTGAAGCAATCCTATCTCCCCATTTTGGGCTGATATTTCTGAAGTAGTACATTTTAAAATAATACTAATACAATAATTATTACATACAGTCCCAAATTATCTTTTGGAGAGAAAGTTATGGATCTATTTTTTCTGAAATTATTCCAATTGTTTAAAAATTCCAGAGTTTATCTGGATCTTCCATTGATCTTGTCCATACCGGACATGACAAAACTCAGAAGGTTTCAGACAGGTAGAAAGATACTGGACTAAAATTCTGAAGATTTGAATTCTGAGTCTTTCCTTTCATTAACTTTTCTAGAACCTTGGATATAAATCTTTCAATATGCTAAATTGTAAAGTAAAAGTAATATCTTCTATTTCATATCTACTACACAGAGAGGTAGCAAAGTAAAATTATTTATGCTAAGGTTTTAGAGAAAGACACGGTCAGACAAATTCATTGGTCTTTCAACAGTATGATTAAAGTAGAGACACTACTCCCTGGAGAAAACTAGTATTTTGACCAGTATGTTTAACTCCTGAGGCTGAAATCTTAGTTTTAGAATTTATTTTTGTCAATATCTTTCCCTTAATATCAAATTTATCCATGGATCAGTTATCATTTATTAATTTCAAAGAGCTTAAGAAAAATGAAAATCAAAAGAAAATAATAATTATTGTTATGTTCAGTGTGTGCTGAGTACTTCATATAAATGATTTATATGAACTTCCTCATCTAGGAGATAAGAACTTAACATAAGAACTTGGTCACGAGAGGTTCCTCAACCTGTCCAAAGTCACATACTTAGCAAGTCTTAGAACTAGAACTTAAATCTACAGTCTAATTTTGCAGTCTCTTTTAATGTAGAACCCAAGGATTATCCAAAGGCATTGCTACTTCTTGAAAGAGAAACTAGTTGGAAATCAGTTCTGACAAAACTAAAAGTAGCAAAGCATCAGTGGACAAGGGCAGTTTAGTGTTCAGGAAGTCAGCATTCTCATTTTGCTTTTACTTTTGGTTCACACTGGTTTCTTATTGTTCTTACACCTGAGGAGTTGGCAGGACTTTTCCTTCTTTCATTTAAAGCTCACTAGTATGCAGTCTTGCTTTATTTAAGATACAGTTTTCCCAGTAGTATGTAGGTCTTTGTTAACTCCCAGTTGAATAACTAGTAACAACACTTTTCTTGAAAAATCTCCATATGTTTCACACTGTGCGAAATACACCAGCTTAACTCCTAAGCATAATAAACAACTTTGACATTTGCAGTGCTAGGACATTTTGCTCTACATTGGTAATGTGGCTCCAGTATAATTTACAATTATTTTTTTCTCAATTCTTTCCAATAGGAGGGGTCTGCTTTTGTTGTACTGATCTCTTCATTACCTTTCTTTTCATCGCCTTTGGTTTTGTCTCCTTTCCATCATACCTTACACGTATATCCTGGTATATAGAATAGAGGTTAAGGATTTGGCCTCAGGTGTTGGACCACCAGTGTCCAAATCTCAGTTTCATCTTTCTAAGTATGTATCTTTGGGAAAGCTGCTAAATCTCTTTCTGTTTCTCTCATCTTTCTCTCTTCTCTCTCCTCTCTCTTTTTGTTTCTATCTCTCTTTCACCTTTACTTTCTTTTATTTCTAAAGATTATCATGAGTTTCAACAAAGGTGGCATATGATAAGGTTTCTATAAACACAGTCTTGTAAATTGTTTACTCAATTCTGACCTCCTCAGTGAAAGCGACCACTTATTATCTGCACCAATCATTGAGCACACAACTATAGATTGTCTGAGATCTTAATTTGTAGTAAGTAGAAGTGCCATTGCTTAAATGTTTTCAGTCAGTAAAATCATATCAGATAAAAGACTATTCTATTTTTAGATACTTCTGATGGTTAGAAATTTATCTTTTGTAGTTAAAAAAATTGAGTTTTTATTTTAATTTCAACTTTGTATATTTTGGAACTAAATTTAACAACTCTAATTCCTTTTTTTATAAAACATTCCTGCAAGTGATTACCATCTTCTTTTTTTCCTTTTCATGTTGAACACTCTCATCCCTTTAACCAATGTGGTTGGGGTCACACAGCAAATAATGACCAGTGGGTTTAGAAAAGTTTGTAATTTCAAAAAATGCCAGGTTTCCTTCCAGTAAATATACTAAAATAAGCTTAATCTTTAAGTATTACAATAAATGCAATAGGTATAATTTAATATAAAAAATTAGAATTTTCTTTGTTTAATATCCCTACTAATAACTAATTGCCCAAGTATTGTGTGTTTTATGTAACTTTTATTTCAAAGGGAGTGGAGCTATATTTTCCACTGGAAACTAGATTGATTATTTTTATTAGTATTATTTTATTAATATTAATATTATTATTATTTACCCAGTGATTATACAAAAAAAAAAAGAAAACATGAAGTGTTCTTTTAATTTTTTTCATTATGCATATTTGTCTTTGTTATTATCTGCAACCTAATCTTGTTTAAGAATTTGGTCTAAGAATTGTCACAAGTACATTCACACATCTTATTATATACCTATTCTTTTTTCCACCTAAGTTATCAGCCCAGTGAAGAAATTTCCTTAGTTATTTGTCTTTCTATC